CTCGCCTTCGTCCAGCATGAAACTTCACAGCTGTCATCTTGTCCATTGTAGCTCTGTCTCGCTGTCGTCGTGTCTCATGGTTTGTTGTGCTCTGTAGGTGCTTTGGTCAGTAGCCAGACTGTTGCCTTTCTGCCATCAACTTTAACTTTTCACTTTGTTTGGGAGTTGTTGTTCTTTCTATTCAAATCTAGCTCTCGTCTCTTCCCTATCTAATATAGCCTTTCTTTTTCCATTTCTCCTTTTTTATCCCAACTTGACCCTTTAAAGACCCTAATTCTTTTTTTCTTACATACTTCCAAGTAGTTAAATGCACTTATATCTTTGTTCCACTTGCTGTGTACGTTTCTTCATCTGGGGGCATATCTATTTAGACCTTATCTAACAAGGTGGGGTCTTTCATTATTCCGTCTCTCTGACGACTATTCCCTCACTAAAGGCTATATTGAATGTCAGTACTATCTACCTGTTGGTCAAACAGTTTCTCCTTATTTTTCCTTTATTCCAAGCTTTCTCTATCTCTTATCTGATGTCTTTTCTTTTATCTTTAACTACTTAGTTGTGCTGTTACTACATATGTTGCTGCCACAGCTCCCTCCTTTGACCACCTTTGCGGTTAATCTCTCTTTTTTGTGCTCTTTACCATTTAATTTCACCTGCTGTGTGCCTCCCAGGACAGCCATCGCACACTCACTGCGAGCAAACACTTACTCTCTGGAAACTTTAGAATTTGGACGGCCTTGACACCTCAAAGAAGAAGAAGACAGTTAATTGTCAAGCCACACAACCAAGAAACCAGAATGAAATAATTCATTGAAAAAACTTTGTCTTTAATCTCAAGGAGCTATTCAAATGGCGGGGCCTCAGTGATTCTGTGGCCCCTGAGTCAACAGCAGATGTGAGATCTTTCCCTGCCACAGTGATTGTGTGTTAATCAAAGAAGTTTGGGGGCGCTACTCTGCCAGAGCGACTCCGGACACGGCTCTGTGTGCGCATGTGTTACGTAGTTTTTTATGGTTTTGTGGTGCATTTTTTTTTGTTGTCTTGTTGTTTGGGAATGTTAACAGCAACAGTATTTTACAAACTTTTCAGTCAGAGAGACACAGAGCTGTAAGCATTATGAGCTGCTGAATGTGTCCTTCAGACCTCACTACCTACAGACAGACAGACTCTCTGACTTTAATTGTCTCCATAATAAAAGTTGATGGGAGAAATAAAAAAAAAAAGAAAACTCTTTCTAATAAATAAATAAAGTTAAAGTGTGTGGGGCTTTTGTTGTTCAGACCTACAATAAACACAGATCCCCCTCATCGCTCCTCGGAGCGCAAATAAGAGCTTTGGGACGGCTTGCAAGATGGCAGAGCAGAGCAGAACAACTTCCGGATCAAGCGAGGATTGAGGAGCAAGGAAACGACAAATAAGAGACTTGAGAAGCACCCACAGTCAACCCACACAAGGCTGCTGGCCCTTACAGGCTCAGAGGCAGGGTGTTCAAAGAATGCTCCAATCAGCTAGGTGGAGTTCTCACAAGGCTGTTCCAGCACCTCCTGGACTCTGCCTGTGTTCCCAACCAGTGGAAGGAATCCACCATAATTCAACTTCCCAAAAAGACACCTGCTAAAGACCTGGGCCCGTATTTATCAAGCTTCTCAGAATTACTCAGAAGAACACTGCTAAGAACTGACTTAAGAGTAAAAAAAAATCTTAGCTTGAAGCTGTGATTAAAAGTTAGTTATCAAGCATCATAGTCCTAATTTGAGTGAAGTGCAGGACTAAATCTTAAGTGTCAGTCTGAGTGCTGTTTATGACACTTTGCTGTGCCGCAAACAGGATTTTGGATGACGATGTAGCCAAGGACCAATCACTGAATAGATTTCCTTATTTAAGAATCTTCTCAGATAAATTCACATTGAATGGT